AGGTGAAAAGCCCAACAGAAGCAAGTGGAGGCGTGCAGTTGAAGCCCCATGTTCCACTAGGAACCCAAGGGGACAATAATAATAATAGAAGAAGAACTGACTGCACTCACATTCATGTTGAAAATCCAAATCATGTTGTTTATGATGGCTGAGTGCAGGAGATTTCTAGACTGAATTCAGGTTGATGAAGGGGTGTGTATCCTGCCTTTCCGATTCTGGCTGACTGAGTGGCTGGCTGGCTGGTTTTGACATCTTCATCCGTTCCGACTGGCTGTAGTTGGGAGGATGTTGCATAGCTAGACAAGTGAAGGCACGAAGTAACCTCTATTAAATCCCTCCCGTTGATTGTGTGATTGGTGCTGTTTGTTGTTGGTGGCGCAAGGTGGTGATTGGCTATCTTCATCACCTCCGTCATCTCTATGTTCACTTGGAGTCCTGTCTTCGCTGCGTGCCTGCTTCTTCAGCCAGTTTGTTGCTTTTCGCTTGTAAGTCTTCGAGTTTGTGTGACATTAGACATATATCAGCCACACACGTAAGCCAGATCTCTTAGAGTCTCCTTAGCGGTCGTCCATCGTATCTTTGTCTTCCCACTCTCAACTCACAGTCTGACGCATAATCCAGTCCACCACAATGAGGAAAATCATCGGTGATAATAGGTAGGCAGGCAGACAGGCAGGCTTGCTGGCTGGTCTTACTCCTGTATGCACTTCAAACGCCTCGCTGAGTTTTCCGTGGTGGATCACTTGACACGTCGCATTGTCATATAGCCAGGTGTTGAATGAGGTTGATAATGACTTGAACACTGCACGCTGAAGTGTTGGAATAGTTTTCAAATTACTCCTCGGTCATCGCTGTCTGACGAAGGCCTTTACGAATTCAAAGAAATCGAGATAGAGAGAGGTTTGACAGGGATTCTCTGCTTTGTTCTGTGATGACGATGTGTAGAGTTGCAATTTGATCAGCACATGATTCGCCTTTCCTTAAGCAAGCTTGTTCCAGGTGGAGTTCTGTATCCAGTTCATCTTTTATTCTCTCCAGGTTGGTGCGACCTACTATTTTACCTGGCGAGGACAAGAGCAATGTCCCACACCACTCGGTTCCTGCACAGGCCCAAGTCGCTCTTCCTTGGTAGTTTGACAACGTAACTCTTCTTCCAGTCAGCAGGCACCCTGCCTTCTTTCCAGACCTTTCACAATAATGGCGTGAGAATATCTTCCGTAATCTTTAGGTCCGTTTCCAGTGTTTCGATTCGGTCTGTCCCTACTGCCTCCCCAAGCTTCCGTTGCTTGATTGTATTCAGGATTGCTGCTTTCGTTATGGGATTGGTGTCCACTGGCAGGCAGTTTTGTGCGTGTTGTTGATGTTAGTGGTATTTCTGGATGAGTCGCAGGTGATGGTCGATTCAAGAATCCTTTAACCCGATGAGCCCATTGTTTCCCTTCTCTCTCCTCCTCGGTAATCAGGTTCCCTTGACCATCTTTTATTGGTGATCTAATATTGATTACTCCTTGCATAGTTACAAGAATTTTAGAACACAGATAAGTTTATTAGAAATAACAGAGAAAGCACCTTAACACTGGAATTTTGTACCGAACACAGATCTTGTTTTCAATTTTTTCTATGTCAGCAAAGTATTCGTTAGTGTAGTTGTCAATGATATCGAAGCTTTACTTAATGCACTATGTGAACAATTATCACGGAAATTTCCAGCGCACTCAGGTTTGAAATACTCCGAAATACACGATTTACAAGTGGACTCTCGCCGACCATGCACATGGTCCGGGGTTCGAGCCCTCGCCGACGCACACCTGATATCTATGGTTGGCCTGCGAATTTTGGGCTACCGATAACCACGCTGAAAATTCCACACTTGTACCAAAAATATGGTGTGGAATCAAGCTGTACCCATAAAAAGAAAAAAAATAATAATCTGAAGTATATTATACGACGTGTTGTTGCATATTAAGAGACTATTCTGTAAGTGTTTTCTTCATTTCTTTCACGAGTTGCACAGAGTTTAGCACGTATCTAAATCACATAGTTTGACACATTTACATGATAAGGACAATGAAATTTACCGAAGATTTGAGGCATTCTGATTGATGGAAATTCTGGCAGCCCACTGATTTAAGCAGACTCCTTGGTATAAAAAATGCTTACTATATTTTAAAAATCTGAGGGAAGCTCTCATGCGAAACTGTTGATTTTTTTAACCTAAGTTGTTCACATGGTGGCTCTGGAATTAATTGTTTAAATCCAGTTAGCCGGTCGTTCGTAAGGAGCAGTATTCCTGATGTTCAGATCTAGGCGGCAATTTCGTTAGTATCGCTACGGTAGGTTGTGTGCACCTTACAGATTTTATTGGTGGAGAAAGGCGTTCTTGCGCTATCACCTTGTTTTTCTCATTGTATATTTGAAATTGAATTTATCTGTTGTCTCTGTTGGTGAGGAAAACATTCAAAACCCTTTCGAGAACTTATGTAACACAATGACTTGTCGCAGATTTAATTTGTAATATACAGGAAACATTTTTTGAAGGGATGATGGAGGCTTGCAGCGTTGTTCCTCAGCCTTCATGCTCAGATTCAAATAGTCTGGTGCCTGTCGAAAGTTTAATATTACAACTACTTAGTCAGCCCACTAGTTTCGGTTATCTTCAACATTCGATCACTTCTCTTCTTTCTTTCTCGCCAGCAAACCTTACTTACTGACGTGAATGGTATCTTTTTTCTCATACTAGTTGTTTATATGTGCCTTGACGCTGTTTCTCGTGATTTCCCAGTTGTGTGCGTCGGTGGCACAGTGGTTAGGACTCTCGCCGACCGTGCACATGGTCCGGGGTTCGAGCCCACACCGGCGCACACCTGATATCTATGGTTGGCCTGCGAATTTTGGGCTACCGATATCCACGCTGAAAATTCCATACTTGTACCAAAAATACAGTGTGGAATCAAGCTGTAAATCAAAAATCAAAAAAAAATGTATGCGGTCACACTTACTGTATTGTACTTCGAGCAATTTTTTCTTTTTGGAGGCTGTAGGTTGTCACCCTGTTTTGTTATTTTCATTTTTCACTCACCTAGTAAGGACAGATGCGATTTCACGCAGAATGTATTATCTACGACATAAACGTGACTAATTCATTTCATCTGGAAACAAAGAACAACAATCATGTAAGCCACATAAAAATTCTAACAGCTTAGGGAAAGTCATGCAACCAAAGCAGTTCTTATCAGACTTCAGTCTCAGTGTAGGTAATTTGATAAATTTTTTTGGAAACGTTATTCCAAGGATTGTGTCGTTCTTGTAAATATCATACGACAACAGCAATCTTTCCTGGCTTGGTTACCTTGGAGATCTAATTATCCATCCTAAGTGTCTACTATAAGCTGCTTCTGTAACAAAAGTAATGTTGAGCTCTCCATTGGGGAGTAGTAGGAACGGCACTTGAATAATGTCTTACTTTTTGGTAAGGATTAACTACATTGGAACATTCGTATTTTTTGCTGACTCTTGTAGTTCTCCATTTCCATAAATAATTTTTCAAACACGAATAAAAATAGCTTGAACTAATTCATTTCTTGGTATCCAAGTTGTGCCGTCAGTCAGGCAGTGATCGCCGAGTAATTTGTATCACAAACAAGATGTTCTGTCTAAGTTCCCCTAAAGACATTTGTTTGTAGACAGCTAAATCCTAACCATTCACTCATCACGAAATCTGGTTTCATGTTGTTTCCGAAAATGAAATGCCAACTAACTTCTCATCTTATTCACACATTAGTCCTTTAAATGGGTTGCATTTAGTCATCTAGATAAACATTGCTACCGTCCGGGAAATTCTGTAGCGTAATTCGTGATTTACTAGTCCTCTGCGGAACAAGAGTGTAACATTTTGGGCTCGCTGGCAGCCAAAGTAAAGTTCCACAATACTGTCTCATCGTTAGCAGCACCACTTCACTTCCCCATTTGCATCTCTATGTCATATCATTTGAAACAGACTGGGCAAAATATGGACACATAACTGTAATTTCTGGTCTTATCCTCAAAGGATTCCTAGTTCAGTGATACCCCCAGGAATAGCTGTTTCAGCCATTAAAAGTTAAATGTAAAATATCTTGAGAGGTAGGCAAGATCGACGGAGAATCTTATACACATACGGACTACTTCAAGCATCAGCATCAAACTGACTCAAAATAATTTAAAATTGTGCTCCAATTTACTGACAATGAAAATCTTAGTGATAATTTTCATTTACTGGTAAATCCAAACTGGTGTATGCTATCAGCTCATTTAATCTGCTTTACGGCTTTTATAATCACGAGTCATTTAAGTGATTCACATAACGTCCTACGTGCGTATAAGAACATTCATCTCTGGAATTCATCTCAACTTGTTTGTTGTGTCGCGGAAATGAATGAGGACGTATACATGAAGAATCTGCGAGTTGTGCTTTGGAGTCTTCGGATTTCCAATGCGTATTACACCTAGCTTCTTGTGATTAATAGCTGTGTTTTGTGAAGTGTAGCCGAACACTCAGTAAATGATTCATGTATGAAAACATTTTCGTCATAATTCTTAAATATATTTCACATACCATTAGTATTTGATCTATCGTGTTCCGTATATCTGCGTCAATGGTCTTATGATTTAATCCACTTAGTATTAAATAATAGTAGCTGTATGTCTATCACGTGTCTTTAACTGCCATTAATTAAGTGTTGGTTATGATGATGCTGTTTATTTCTAATTCAGTTGAATGTTTCTTGCTAAGAACGGTTTAATCCCACTTTCTTCCGTATTCTTAGCTGCTAATATTTTTATATCTCTCAAGGAGTTGCCTAAAAACCTTAGGTGTCGGCATATTGATTTTCCATGGTTTTTTCCGTAAATTATGAAAACTGTCATCACTTTAGCCCGTGTATATATGTATATATACGTATGGTTTTTTTTCTCTCTGTAATAACTTTAGTGGTTTGATTTTAGCTATTGTATCGTGCACAATGCTCGCTGATCCTAATCTTCAGTATGCAGATATTCAAGCGTGTTGCTCGTGCCTAGGATTTCGTGAGGGTGATACTTACAAAGTTGATTCAGATGCTGAAGGTTAGTAGAATTCTTTATGTTTACAACTGTAGTTTCCATTCGAACTTTGTTACGTTACTTACGAAATGAAACTGCTGAATGTAATATACGACGTGAATTAGGTCAACTTCGCATTGTATCAAGTGATCTCGTACCACTTGTTCGTTGTTGTAGCGAGAACAAAATACTATTTGAGTTGGTTATTCGTCTTCTTATGAATTTGACTCAACCTGCCATCATATGTTTCCGTCAGGAGATACCAAAAGATCGCGACCACTACAGTGCTTTTCTGCAAGTCGATGATCTTTTAAAATCTTACAAAAAGGTGGGTAGTGTCGCATACATGTATGAATAAGACTGTAGGACTTTGCAGATGAAGAATTCTTTCGAGTACTGTGCAATGTGGTGGGGATTTTGCTAGACAAGGTAAGATGTTTTCGGTTTTACCATTATTTCTTGAGGCTAAAAAGGAACCATAATTCCTTAGTAATGCTACTTTATTTAATTAGATTGAATAGGTTAGTGAATAGGTGTATGTTGGATATTTGCAACTTTCCTCAGTTATTGGTGTCATCTATAGCTTCCTTTCATGACAGTGTTCGCAGTTTTTGACATTTATAGTAACTCTTTCTGTCTTAATCCTAGTAACAAACAAAATAACGCATAATAAAGTAAGGAAGACAGACATTTCTGGAAGCAGTGAAAACCGATTAGTCAGTTCTAGATAACCAACTGCACACTGAGTTAAAACACTTATTGAATTACTTGTTATTGAGATAAATATAAAAGTTCAACCACAAAACTTTGTCGATGTGTGTCATGTGTAATTAGCCTCAAGAAGTTTCTCCTTGGTTGCTGGTGGACTGCATCATGCGCCAGACCGTGGGGAGGTAATAGATGGGCATAAGTTGAACTGACCAAGATCCCTAGAGATTTGGACTTCGCTAGTAATTTATATATTGTGTCTCACAAACATTAGGATTTACAAGAGAAAACCAACAAGTTGACAGAAAAGGCAGCAAAGACAGGACTTCAAGCGAACATAGACAACAGAGAGATAGTGAAGATACCCAACTAAAAGCAAAAATTGTCAGTGACCAAAGAAGAAACAGATCTTAGTGAAGTCATGTCCTTCACCTAAATGAGGAGAATTATTTTAACTACGTGTGACGGGGATGAGGATATTAAAGCCAGGGTCGGTAGAGCAAGAAAAGTGTTCATTTTTCTGAACACCTGACACAAAGAACAAAATTCGAATTCGTAACACTACTGTCAAGTTATTGCTTTCATATGAGTCAGGGACTTGCCGCGCGCATCACCAATAACTAACAGACCTCAGACCTTCATCAATACCAACCGCCCATACCCTACAGTTAGCACACGAGGTCATCATTCAGATTCCGAAAATATTTGCTTTGCCTAATTGTTCCTTATTATGTACATTTTCATCCATTGAAGTTTCATAACGTCTATTTTTCCTACTTTTATGTTTGCTTTCCCTCATTGTTGTATCTTGATGCATGGTTTTACTTCGATAAGTCAGTCGACCCTTAAATGTGCGAATGAGACTTGCTTTAATTATACTTTTTTCTTGATCTTTAGTCCCTCAGTAGATCCCTTCTGTTTCATTATTTTTTTCACTGCTTATCAGATATCAACTGTCTTTAGCAACTCCTAATTATTTGTATTCAGTCTGTATTATATTAGCGATTTTCATATTTCTAAGCTGATACTTTATTTTGTTTGCTAACATATCCTGCGAGAAATTATTACTATGGTTGACTGACTGAGTTTAAAACGCAGAATTTAAACAGAAGTGCAACAGCTCAAGTCGCCATACTTAATATAGTTTACAAAGATAAAGTCCACTGGAACTTTAATGAACGGGAATGTATGGAAGAAACGATAGCAGCATAAGGAATATTGAGGATGGAATAGATCTACGAATTTATAAAGAGTTAGTGTGTTTGCGTTATTGAGAGCAGTTTTGAGTCATGTCACAATCAGTCGATCCTTAGCGTCTCAAGGATCCAGGTCAGAAAGCCTACACTTCTACACGTGACTCAAACTAACAGTCAGAGACTTCATTGGTTAATTTCGCTTTATATTTTGACCACCACTAACCCTTTTCCAACGTAATCCCATGTCAGCTAACATTTTTTGACGAGCAAAGCGTTGCCTTAGCATACGTAACAAGTGTTCTAGCCATCTAAACTGATGCAGTTTCACAATCTCATAAATTAACCTTCTTCCTTAGCTAATGCAAGTTCCAACCTCATGGTTACCTACCATATAATACCATCTAGCACGAGAGATTTAACACAAACACCTATGACCAAAGACAACTAAGTTCTTCAGGTCGTCTTCTTCCAACGAGCATATCTCACAACTGTGACGAGCTGGGCGGACTGCTGTAAACAATACACATGTCCTTTGATCAGTAGCCTGATATCACTCATACGCCAGAGACTATAGAAGTTAGCAGATGGCACACGCGCCTTTTATATCCTTGCTGACATTTCATGAAAAACCTGTCCATTGAGAATAATGCAAATTCCAAAATAAGTGAAGTGGTCGACGCACCTTTAATTACTTCACTGTTGTCAGAGTTTGAGCAGCACTAGCACCACTTTTTTGGTGATATCGACAAGTGACTTTCCGAATACCAGTGACCTTGTAAACCTTAGTTTGGAAAAAGGATACTCAGCTGCTTACTATTGAGGCATGTAGCATAAATCTGAAAATATACAAGGTATTTGTATTTTCATCGTTACTTTAATACAGGGTTTCCAGTTATTCATATTGCGTGTTTACTTATTTTGTGCTTATTGGTTAGTTTTAGGTGTAAACGTATACTATTGCATAGTTTAGCACTGAACAGACAGAATCTCTGTTTAAAACTGAACTATCCATAGGATGTACTCGAAAAACTTCTGAGGAGAAGCAGTACCATGTCACAAGGTTACTTACCGGTTTTTTGTGTATGAAGTCCATAATGAAAACATTGAAATCGAGCAGCAAGTTTATCACAGAGTTGATCAAGTCTGGTAAGGGTTAAAATTATGAAATAATTAGACCCTCCCTTATTACCATATAGGGCAGTTAGCTGCATGTAATTATGGAGTCATATCGAAAAATGTAACTACATGCAGTAGGGTATATTCTGTCAGTGCCAGCCGTGGTAAGCTGCTAATAGACATTTTACGGGTGAAATTTATTTATCCTCTTGAGTAAAGTGACATTTTTAAAGTATCTCTGATTTTAATGTCTAATATGCTGTGGAGGTGTTTACGAGAAGCATATTCAAGATCATTCAATCTTTTGACTTTGCAGAGATGGTTTTATAGCTTAGTATTCCAATTGTACGATTGAATTAATGATTAATTACTGTTAGTCCTGAACTTGATACTCCAATGGTGGTAATCATTAGTTTCACTTGATATGTGGTATTTAGCATTATCGGCACATTACTGTTGTTACTTAAATGTTATCCTTATATTATCAACTTCAGCCTGTTCTTTTTTTTGAAAATCATAATTAATTGGCATCCACATTATATGTTCATTTGCAGAATTGGGAAGAAAGAAGTGAAGAAGACCGCCTTCTTATTGAGCGTATATTGATTTTAGTGCGTAATATACTGCATATAACTCCCGATATCACCAATGAACGGGTAAATGGAATTGTCTCATTCGTAAAAGCTGTTTTAGCGCACTGATGAAGATGTTTCTGTCCACGATCAAATTTTATGGGCAATGCATTTATCCGGTTGGGATGAATTGCTACTATTTTTGGGAAATTCTGAAGATGAACAAATGTTTGCCTTCCATACCCTTGAAATTATATCATTAATGTTGAGAGAACAGGTAAGGTTTGAACAAATCTTTTCTGAAATAATGAAGAAGAATTTTTGTTCAGAATGAGGATGACATTTTTTGTTACCTTTCGATCTTTCGGTGTTCGTTCGTGGAAGTTTCACCACCAGGCTTAGTGACAACTTGAGCACTAACCTCATTGAGGAAGCCTGACGATAAAACGTCCATAGCTGAACACCAAAGCTTGGAAAACACTAAATACTCCTGTCTCGTTTGTTTATTTTCCCAGTAAGAGAATTCATATCTTTATCGCGATGAGCTCACGGGTAAAATTCATTAATTCTATACAATTATTTCCCTTGATAAACTCGAACAAAGTAAGAAGGACAAACTGAGCAAGACAAAATGATGTTATTAGATAGATATGAAATGGCGTTTTAATTGTTCAGTTTTTCACATTCTACGAGGGTTCAGTGTGTTATACAGTCTGCTACACTGAATTACACGAAAATAATGTGAACAATATCTACACAGCAGATTATCATGTGTGTGAATTTGCCTAGCTGAACCTGTCTTAGAAAATACTATCAGTTTGTGTCTACTAAAACAACAGCAAAATGTGTGCAGATCTTCGAAACTTCTACAAACGCGGTAACCAGGTTAAGTTTCTACCTATGCATTATAAGTGTAAACGTTTTCCTTCGTTAAAATGCAATAAACATCAGTTACCTTTGGCAAAAAGACTCATGTGACATCTGTATATACTTTCATAGATTCATTAGCTTACTGAATCTAATACTCTATCTTCTGCGTTTGATAGGAGCGAATCGTGTGCTAAATATCCCAAGTTTTCTGCTCAAAGTATTGATTATACTGTATTATATCAGTGTCTTCACCTGGGAGGACTATATCACTCCCATACTCTAGGCCCACAAAAATGTTCCCTGGCAACCAGTCAACCCCTAAGTCGCTAGAGTGCGTCAGTGGCACACTGATTAGGACTCTCGCCGACCATGCACATGGTCTGAGGTTCGATCCCCTGCCGACGCATACGTGATATCTATGGTCGGCCTGCAAAATTTGGGCTTCCGATATCACATGCTGAAAATTCCATACTTGTACCAAGAATACGGTGAGGAATCAAGCTGTAATAAAAATAAAAATAAAATAAGAGTCATTCAGCGTCCACTCAATTAGTACATCTGTAATGAAGTTAAACAAAAATGGGGACATTGGGAATCCCTTACGGATACCGAAGGCTGTTCTTACTCCATAAGATTTGACATGGCTGCGTAAGTTCGAATAGAGTGCATTGATTAATCCAGTATACTTTCTCGACACTGTCCACGGCCAAACACTGCCAGAGCACTCACCGGTTGATAGAGTCAAACGTCACATTCAGGTCCAGAAATGCTGTAAGTGTTGGACACCGGCAAGTGTGTCTATTTTCCAGAATTTGTGGGAGGCTGAACACATGGTCCGTGCATCCTCTTCCTGGTCCAAATCCTAACTGGTTTACTTGTCCTGAGCTCAGTGGTTGTGTGATTGTGGAACATAGAACTTGTGATATTATATTAGTCAGTCTTTTCCTCCTTCTGGCGATTATCTCAGGAAGACTTGTCTCTCTTCATATGAAGTGGGATAATCAAGGATGCGCACCAGTCTAACGGAGCAACTCCTGATTCTCAGACAGTACACAGCACCCTAGTTAACCCTAGAGACAGTTTGTCATCACTAACCTCAATACTTCTGGAGTCATTCCATCAGGTCCTGTTGCTTATCCGTGTTTCACGTTAGAGACAGGTTTTTGTAAGCTGAATTACAGATGAAGGACCGATGTCGACATCTTACCCAGGTAGGTGTTGGGTGATGGGCAAGTTGATCGTGGGTGTAGGTGTGTAAGCCAGTTGAACTGCTACACAAAACGTTGCTTCCAAGGTTCCAGCTGTCTATCTTTAGAGCTAATTAAACCGCCAACTGTTTCGCTCATCATTTTTCTTTTGTCACATGTTTCCCTAATATTTTTAAAATGGTTGTGTGGGGTTACCTATTGTGGGTGTTTCGTATCTCTTTGGCATTTGTTGCCCACCAGTGTTCACGGTCGTTTAGAAAACTTTTTGTCAGTCTGCGTTTAAGCAGCTTTTGATCCTCATCGCGTTTACAGCCCGCCGAAATCAGTATCCCTGTTTCTTTCAGACTGGATGAAGCAGCATGTCCACTGGCATTTACTAATCTTTGGTTTTAATTTATCAAGATCCTTCACCACTATTCCTGCAGCTGACTAAATATGCCGGGCTTCGTTAAGATTGGTCCTGACGTCAATCTCAGATGCACATTTTGGTATTACTTCCTCTTGTACAGATTAAGTGTCTTCAACAAGTTAGGGGCGTGTTGGCTTCACTGCTGTGTGTTTTCCAATTCCCTGCAGAAGTAGGCTTCAAAGTCCACGGACTAGGGGTGATCGAAGTCTATGCAAGTGTCCAAGAAGTAGCGACAGTTTTTTACCAGCTTTTGCCGTCGACAGCTTGTCGCTATGCAGTTTTTTGTCTTCGTCATTGATTTGAAGGTGTAGATCGTCAGGTTAGGAGATGCCTCTCCTTATGTTTAAATTTACTGCTGACTAGAAAAAAATGTTAGTGGGATGATAATTGTAGAAGACGATCACCATCGTCTATACATCGACATGGGACTCCTCAGGTTCCATCACTATACTTTTCTGACCGGCTCAACGTCCACACTTGAGCATTGAAACCACTTGCTGAAATGATAACATATGAAGGTTTTGCCTTAGACAGCAGACTAGACAGCTTTTGACAGAACTCATGGTTTACTTTGTCTGAACTTCAAATGATCGGAACATAATAGGAGATTATGAAAAGATATCGTCAAGTATGACAATCTCTTCTTTTTCCCATCAAGAATCTGTTCAGCCATACAGCACACACACGACTATCTGCCAGGATCAAGTCAAGTAGAAATGTTTTTTCCCTGTTACTGATTGCTATTCTTGCTTTTGCAATTGCACGTAAACTAGCTGGAGCATTTCGTACGGTGAATTTCGCAGATTTTACCCTATTGGCTTGGAGTAGTTATGCGGCTCAACTTAACCTCGTAGATAACTTTACAGAATAATTTACGATGAGCTACGCGACCTGACTCAAAAAGGCTTTTATAAATAGAAGACGCTATCACTTTGTGTTCATATATCATTAAACTAACCGGGTGCTCTTGAGCTACACGTTCCTGGATAACTTGCTTACAGCGTCTAGTGTAATCAGTTCCACAGTAGCAAAAGAAAAAGTAGGGGTGAAAGTAGGCGGTACTTTATCCTTCATGCGTATCTCAATCATACTTTGGCTCGAGAATATCAGGTGTTAGCCGCTGGCATAGAAAATGCGTTTCACAAACTTAGATGGACAACTTTTAAGTACTTTGACAGCGGTGTTACCTTCGAGTGTGAAGCCCATAGGTAGTATTAACTGACAATCTTGGTTGTGAATGCCATTATTACCATCTTAAAAATTTTGTATTATGCAGGATTACCTACACTACCACTACAAACACCGCATTAGAGCTGACGATAAAAAAACCTGATATGTTTATTTTATGATTGTTTGGTGTTGTTCAATCAAATTAACTGATCATCTTGGCGATAAATATCTTAAATAAATATCTTAAATATCATTTCATAACTTATTGTATGATTATAGTTTTACTGTTCACTATGCATAAACATATCATAGCTTCCACTACCCAATACTGAGATATTATTTATTGTTGTTTATTTTCCATTCTACTTCTTGGTCTTTTTTCGCATTTTTTTTGCTATTTTGTTTTCTTTTGTTTTTGTTGTTTTTTATATTTATTTTTGGAAATACTCTTTTAAATGTTTGATAAAATTAGATGCAATATTGTAGATAAGTGCTGAAAATTCCACACTGTACCACTAGTACTGTTTCTGGAATAAAGCAAATTATTATTATTATTTTCTTCGGCACTATGATTTCGTTAGGAGTGATTCGATATTCATTGTTGATGAGCGTTGTATGAGGATTTCCGAGCTCCTTGCGAACTGTATCCTTACAACTGATTTTCGGAACTCTAGTATGTAGAGAATAAATAAGATTTCTCCTTCTACGCAGAGGTACCCGACTGCTGAAGTTACTTTACTGTTCCGTAAAGATTGGTTTTCGGCATATCAACTTATACAATGAGCCATTATTTCTCCTGTTCAAGTAACATTTAAGAGGTGAAAGGTAGGATTTGATTCTTCTTAGATGAATGGCCACAGTTAAATCATTTGAAGTTCACCAATTGAGCAGTTTTCACCACAAATAATAAAAGTGCAGCCAACATATCTTTTATACAAATGAAGACCAGAGAAAATCTCTTTCAGTCGACCATTCTCTAAGATCATCTGTGAGAAGCCCTAAAAAATACCTTACGGCAACTCAACCTCTTTTGTTGTAAATCACATCATTAAATCCAAATTGCACTTTCAACTTAACTGTCATACCCCGAATTTGATTAACCTCAACGAAACATCTTCCAGAACTAGAGAATAATATCTTCCAGCGTGTTTACTTCTCATATGAATTAACATAGAACAAACGTGGTTTGTTTGAGGTATATGTATCTGATGTGCTAAGGAAACCATCCGAAGATGTAATAATTAAGCTGCTAATGATTTGCGAAGCAACCCAGTCACATGTGAAGTTCTCTGATTCCTCTAATAAAAGCATGTCTTCATATACTCCAGTATGTTTCTTTGATGATTTGCATCTATCAATTGTTTCTCTTGATCCTAAGTCCAGTGGTGTTTCGTCCAGAATTGATAAGCTAGGTAGAGAGGTGCATTCTGAGAATCTTATCAAACAAACACTCAACTTACTCTTAGGATCCATTAAAGACCATGAAGAATTAAAATTCACAATACTGCATTGTTACTACCAACGTATGAAAGCTCAGTGTAAACAATCGAAAGTGATAATGAAAGAGCGCAAAATCCAATTGTATCAACAAATAAGAAACAAACATATCTTTGTTGGTAGTAACAATGTGTTATTGTCTTCCCGAATGCATGGATAAATCAATATATTTCGTCGGATCATGTAACTGTTGAAGTCTTTGCAGGTAGAAAGACACTGGATAGTTGTTCAGGAAAATAAGCCGACGTTCATCATGTGTCAGATTGATATAATGATTTGAAATTGAAAATTGAAAACCTAGGAATAAAATGACATTCCGTTTAGTTGCAAACAAGTGCTACGCGGGAAAACTTGAGTTTTTGGTGAATTTTACTTTTCAGTAAGAAATTCCGAATACAGATTTTCTAAAATGAATTAAAATAAAGCAATAATAACATGCAGAGCAGAATTAAAACAATTTTACACGTTTTATCCTGCTTCATTTTTTTTACTGTTATGCTCATATTCGGTAAATATTTCCTCGGAATCATGAGTATTTACTGGGAATATTTTTAAGCACTGTGTGAAATGTGTCGTATGAACCACTCAAGTGATTTGCTATTATTTAATTTTCAAATCCTAATCTCCATAAGCAACCTAACAATAACTATTTTTTTTTATATCCCAAGACTCCTGAGATTCTCGCCTATGCTGGAAATGCTGCAGAAAATCAGTCTGAGTTGAATACACAGAGAGAGTAGGTTTCAGTTAGTTCAATTACGAGCTAGTTGTTTAGGCTTATTGAAAGATTGAAAAATCGAAACGATACTGAACGAAAAAACTTTTTGTACGGCTGTAATTTAAGGTAAGTATTAAATGTTGCTTTTATACACACGTGCAATTTTATCTGTTAACTTAAATACAGCCGTTGTGCTGGCCATTTTTATTTCATATCAAATAATTAATTTTGTGGTTTATTTTATATCTTATTGTATGGATGAAGACTAAGAGTCTAATGGGTTATTTGCTTCAAGTATTTAGGAAGCCAATTTTCATAATTTTCGGCATCGGTGAGGTATATCATAGGGCAGATATGCTGTGTAGTTTGTTCTATTCTTTTTTAAGATTGTAATCTAATTTCTAAAGACAGCAGACACAAAAAGGTAAGATGGGTTCTGACGGTAGGTGTCCTTGCCATCCAAACTGCACATCTAATGAGAGAAATTGAAGGATCTTGTAGCTGATAAGGAAGTGAGTGTAACTGTATTACTGAGAATCAATCGTCCCCAGTTGTCAGTTTCTAGCATCTGTACATAATTTGATCCCAGAGTCAAGGACTTGATGGATTGGTACCATGTTTCCATTTGAATGTTCACAACTCTTCTCCAACCCAGTGATGTATCAGCTAAATTGGTCCGTCAAGGAAGGTAATGGCTCCGTACAGATAACACCTTTTGTAGCCAACTGAATCAATGCAGCGTCACAATCTTATCGATTAGCTTTACGTCCTTACTTAACATTTTACGTTTAAACCTAATATTGCAATACAAGAGATAGATCGCAGACACCTATAGTCATAGATAACTGGCTTTTTTAGGTCTTCTACTTTTAACGACCATGTCTCATAACTGTGAAGAAAAACTGGACGAACTGCTGTAACTAGTACATACGTTCTTTGATTAGTAGCCGGACATCACGTGACAGAAGTTGGCAAATACCACAAGGGAATAGCCTGCGAGCACCACTGGTTGTCCTCACTTCAGATGACAAGGCCACAACATATCTTTTTTTTCCTTCACGTTCCCAGTGGAACATAGGGCCTCAAGCTAGTGGCTTGAAGTTTCTGTAGCAGTATTGAATTTTACAGGATGGCGTTGCTAGCCTCATGCCCAACCTTCCCTCTTTACCAACATTATTTCTGGCTTAGCGAGGAAAAGGAGTGAGTCGGCCGGGATCCAACCCCGAACCATGTGCATGGCCGGCAAGCATCCTAACCGCTATACCACCGACGCAACCACAACATATCTGGGCTGCCGAAATGATAGGCATTCGACGCTAGTAAGTATATTATATACCGGGATCTGTCAAAGTGCGAATATGTGATCAACACACCTTCGTCCCCTTCTAAACTCTGCTGGTTATCACGTGTTTGTGTTCCTTCAGCACCGCGTAGTCTAAGCGTAGTTGTTGAACCTTATATTTTAGACACTATGTTAGTCAAGTTAATCTTCCTACAACCATGTCAAGAAGACATATCATCCACATAATCAGTGACTTAAAACAATCAGTTGTGATCTCAGCTTCCCACACATAACGTAATGCTTTAGTTAACTCAGACAGTGATTGATCATTATCTCTAAACACCTCACGGCCATCCCTCCAGGTACTTCTGCTTTACTTCGGAACCTACACATGTGTCCCATAAGAAGCGACTGTCTTCTACTGATAGCTTATAGCTAGGTGATATATTTCCGTTCATCGTCCTTTCGATGTTGCAAGTAGCCGGCTGAGATAATATCTGTTTTTATTCGTTAATAAAATCATTTTATTGGGTAAAACAATGTGATACAGTGTTAGATGTTTACTGATGAATAAATAATATTATACTAGTGTGTTTTAATAACAACCGTTGTGAGTTCATCAATATGGGACTCCCCAGGTTCCATCAATACACTTTTCTGACTGGCTCAAAATGATTACATATGAAGGTTTTGCTTTAGACAGCCGATTAGACAGCTTTTGATAGAACTCATGGTTTACTTCATCTGAACTTCAGTTGGTCGGAACGTAATAGGAGATTATGAAACGATATCGTCAAGTATGACAATCTCTTCTTTTTCCCACCAAGGATATGTTCAGCCGTACAGTACAATTACTATTGTTCTTTAGAGTCCAATCAAGTCGTATGACGTAGAGGCCAGTGGACGACTTCTTGAATCTAGTCACATGGCTTATTTGAAGTGATTCTTAGAATTCTGTACACACTAAGGTGTTACTGCCAATTACGGACCGCTGCAAGTTAACTCTGGATGTACATTTGCAAACCAGATCCTCGGACTACAGAGGCAGCATAACTAGTTTACTGGTCATCCGAGGGAAACACCTTACTTCTTTTACATCCCTACTTGTCAGAGGTGTAACTTTTCCCCTCCATCATAGTGTGAACGAATGCACTAACACGGTGTAACTATTGATATAAGAATAGGACTTAGGCCCTGTGGTATAGTAAACATGGCTTGGTACAGTCAAGGCAGATATGGAGTGCCTGGGGCTACAAACCGTCTACGGACTCCGTCTGTGGAACAAGAATTGGATAACCCTGTCGCAAAACCTTGCATCAGATCGCCGCGCCTGGGCAGCGATGATTCGAGATGTTCATGAAGCCGGCTCATCCTCCCGTAGGAGATAGCCGAAGTAAAGTAAAGTAAGTAGTAGAGTATAATTACATTATGGATAAAATTTATTTTCATGAAGTCCCACAGTGTTATACAGTAATATTTACTGGTGACGTCTTGAGTATTATTCATTGCCCATTATCACATTAAATTCCTCACACATTTTTCCTACTTCGTTTATATAGTTCCATTATTTCTCAACTCTTGAGTTGATTAGTAGTAATATTTTCCTTATCTATGGTGTAAGTGATGAGCCATTCCTGTTGTATGTATTAGGTGTAGATTCTATGAACAAGGATTCAGCAATCAACCTATCTCTCCATCTATTTATATTACCTTTGAGAAGTGGGACTTTGTCTTTGTGTGAGAAATTCCATATGATTATGAACAATAAATTGTGCTGGAAACCTCATTAGTAAATATTACTGTATAACACTGTGAAACTTGCCAAAATAGATGGTGTTACTACGTTTAGTCTAATGGCAATCCAAACGGCTTTTATTTCTTGATACGACCTGCAAGAAGATTACTTTCAACCAGTGTATCTCTTTAGGTCGTTGTGCAATATGCAGGTCTGACGACTGCATCAACGTGTCAGCTATAGGTTACCTTAGGAATATTTCAGGGGAATCGATTGTATAATATTTTAAATCGTTAGCAACTAATAGAATTAGTATTGAAGCAAGTTTTTCGGAGTATCTCAGTGTTGGATTGTTAAAGACAGAAAAAAAAATTCATCTCAAGAAAATTTTTTTTGATGGTAGTAGTTACCTTATGAAATATTTCCTCGACTGAAGTCTGTTAATGCTTGATGAGCTTAATTTTAAAATTGGTGATTGGGTTATATGAGAATCTACCTTTGAGTAAACCTGATATCATTCAACGTGGAAACAAGCATCTAATATACGGGATCATTGTTCGTTTTCACAATTCATACATTCACCTTGGTTTATCGTGTGATTGAAATTTAAACAAATAGAAGGAAAGTTGATTACAATATTTGATCCAAAACGCTGAACACATTGAAAAACTGGTTGTTTTATTTAAATGGTATTGATCTGTTTTATCGGAGCGAAAGTATCGTATCTTTCTTTATTCATTTGAAAGTTGTTCAATGTATTTCATGTCATATTTACGTTTAAATTGTTTGTTTTTTTCTTATTGATAATGGACTTACATATTCAATTTTTATTGAATCATAAATTCACCTATTCTGTTGACAAAATAATATCATCAAATATAAAAATATCGATATAATTTTCATGATTTGGGTTGCTTCTGAAAAATATCATGTGAGATTGTGGTTCTGTCTGTCTGTCTGTTTTCGACATAGAACTTTGCACAAATGTGCGGAAGTTCAAGTCGCCACACTCCGTGCAGCACGCGAAGCAAGAGAAGAAAGTACAAGAAAAGCATACTAGAGACAATAAGCAGAGGTGTGAGGCAAAGGAAGGAGTAATAACGAAGAACAAAACAGTTTCATTGGAAATCATAATTCACAAGGAGTGGGCGGATCTGCGCCAGCCATTGAGAACGATTTTGAGCCATATCACCAATAGTTTCCAACCATTGGTTTTTACCGTCCCGGGGACCCGAACCAGGAAGTCCACACCTTCCTACGTGGCTTAGACCAACTGTTGTGGATTTCATTGACTGGTGCCAAGTTTTTGTTTGACCGCCGCTAGCTTTTTTCCAGCCTGACTCTATATCAGTTAACATTGCTCGTCGGGGAAGGCGATGACCAGGCATACGTAACACATGTCCTAACCATCTCAGTCTTTCTAACTTCACGACTTCGGCGATTGATTTCCCCAGTTTACCTAGAACTCGACGCCTAACCTCAATATTGCTCACCTTATTATGCCACTTTACACGGGAGATAGAACGCAGGCACCTATGATCAAAGACAGCTAGTCTTTTCATGTCTTCCACTCTCAGTGACAAGGTCTCACAGCCCGTCATAAAGGAGGACGTAACGGACTGATGAGCAGTACACCCGCCCTTTGGTCGATAGTCGAACATCTCGTCTACGCCAGAGTCGGCGTAAATTGGCAAACGCGAAACGAGCCCTCTGTATTCGTGCTGAGATTTCGTCAGAGATTAACCCCTTTGGAGCTCGCTGATGATACTTCCTAAATAAGTGAAGCGGTCAACGTGCTCTACCACTTCACTTCCTATTTTTAAACTAGGCGTCGATGTGGTCCAGTCCTGTAACATCATCTTGCATTTGGCGGAAGCGAATCGCATGCCAAACATTCGTAGATTGCGGCTCAAGGTGTTTAGAAGACTCTGCATTTTGTCAGAGTCGTCGCCTAGAGGGACTATATCGTCTGCATATTCCAAGTCAACGAGATTATTCCCTGGTAGCAGGTCAATCCCTGAGTCGCTGAAGTCACTTAGGGTTAAGTCTATTAGTACATCTATGATGAAGTTGAATAGAGATTGTGGTTACGCTGTGTCATTTTGTTTTCCTTATTCTTCTCTGTAGATACGCCCGATTCGGTGGTGCCTTTGAGTTGGGTAACACACCGTCCTTGAGTGAACGACCACTTATTTATCACCACGACATTACACGTACAGCCAGAATGACGGCATCAGGCGATAACAATTTAGATAATACCAAACAAGTGGAAGATAGTGTTGATATTGTTCAGTTGGATATAGGGAAAAGAAAATTTCGCAAACCTAAAAATCGTAAACCTTTAGTTGACCGATCAGTGCACAGGCGTTCAATTTTGGCTGTGCAGTTATATCTTCAGGTGAGGAATTAGAAGTTTAAGATAAAAGTTTTAATAGTATTATTATACTCATTTATTCCTTTTCGTTATGTAGATGTATGTTACAAAAACGGTTAGCTTTTTTCAGAAGAAAGTAGTTATATTACTGAATGTTCATCATTTCTAAAATTCTCATTCATATGCATTTGATACCCGTCCTCACTGTAAAAAGTGAACTGTGACTCATTTCTCTACGACTCATCGTCTAGGGTACTTCTGAGTGTTAACGTGTTTAATTCGAGACAGATTTGGTCGGAAATCTAAACCTCTCAATCAACCACGAGGAACAAACGACAACCTACTATTTTGCGTAGCGTATACTAAGAACCGTTCCAATGTTGGGGTGAGTACCGGATAGTAATCCTGTGTCACATAACTTTCAACTCTGCCACTTCGCAACACGGTACCATTGTTATCTAATATCACCGGTATGTGTTCTCGGACTTAATCTGGTTAGTAAAATGTTTTCATTAGAAATTAGGGAAATTCATCTCGGAGCTAGTTACAATTAAGCAGTAAAATCGTACGTGATCACCTGGTGTAGTTATGTCCTCTGAGCTGGACGGTTTAGTTGCGAAGCTTTCATCGCGTTACTAGACAAAATCCTCAGGGCGTACTGTCGTAGTTTAAGGACAGTGTCACCAGCAAGAACACACAGTCATCATGCCCACATCAAATTAATTAAACTGGTGTAATTTCATTTTCATGGTTTGTTTTTAGAAGTATTGTAGTGCACTAATGAATTATATCTTATAAAATTAAGCTTATGGTGGACAAAAATTTGTGAAATGTCAAACAAGCTTTGAGATCAAATGAAACTTCATTCCTTAAGAATTGAAACGTATCCTTTTAGCGAAATGCTAATATTGTTAATTTTACTATTGCTAGTGATTTTAGTATTAGTTCTGACTATTTCCAGTATTATTACAATTCAAATACCACTATCTTATTTACTATTTAAACGAAATAATCCAGAGATTCTGTTGGCAGTTCCTGAAGTTCTGTTATAATCCAATCATGCGCGTTGTCCAAGCCGGTTTAACTCGTCAGGCTGCTCAAGAGAACGATGAAACTTATTTCCTTTGGACAATGCGATTCTTCATGGCCTTCTGTCGGCTGTATCGATTCCGTTCAGACTACGTAAGGTATGTATTGTCCGAAAATAAATAAAATATATTTGTAATATATACTAATAATTCACGAATTTTTCAGGCGTCTGAAATTGAGCAACTCTCAGTGGAGGTAGAACTCATAGACTTAAGCACTTAATTTCCAGTCAGCGTGTCCTACACTAAATGTGTATTCCGCCTAGATCAATCTAGTAGTAGGTAAAACCTGAAAGACGGAGCAGTTTAAAAAATTAATCTACTGTTTCTTTTAATTTACTGTTTTTTTTTACTAGTAGGTCGATTCTAAAACAGTCTTTTTTGTAATCAAGTAAGTCCAGTGAATAACGGGACAGTCACGATGGCATAGATGAAGGGTTTAAAGTATTTCTTTATTATCTTTCTAGGATAGCAGTAAACGTTTGTTTTTAACATAATAGAAATCTAAATATTGAACTACTAGAAAAATATTTTTTGTGGGCTATTTCTCATAATAGCGTACTTGTGACATATAAGAGATGCTTCTTAAATATTTTCCGACGTGTTCGTGCAGTTTAGCAGTAATAAGAATTGGTGGGAAAGTAGACGGGGCATTTGTTAGACAGACGTCCTAGAATATATAAAGTTCCTGTTGGTTTACTCATCTTCTGGCATACGACAGCAGTAAGAGAGAATGTTCATACTAAAAAAGTTATAAAAATACCATTAACCCCTATCGATATTTTTGATGGTGATATATATATATATATATATATATATATATATATATATATATCCATATAATATGTGTGTTTGTTTGACTATCTGATCTTGGTGACATGTATCCATATAATATGTGTGTTTGTTTGATAGTCTGTATATTTGCTATGTATATATGGATCGATATTCCATTATAATTAGCCAATCATGTTAAGACTGTCTATTGATTTGTTCATTTTGAATATTCGCTCACACACTTGTGTTCACACACTTGTTCGGACATTTTATATATTTTTGCTCACACACTCTTGTGTGACATTTTGATTCTCCTTGTGTTTGGAAAATAGAAGTATCATCGCAGACCTAGTGGTCTTCTGATTTCCGTCTTTTTTGCGTCAGGACTATTAAATTCTCGACCAGTACATAACAATAATTTGGCGACGAGTACATAATAGATGGATTTAGTCAACTTACCATGAACAGCGATTGCATTTATTAAAGCCAGAAGATTTAAATAATGAAACCAAACAATTAAAAGAGATACTACTAGTGAATGACTAACCAACAGAATTTATTTCGAATTATATAATGAACTATAGAAAAACTAAAACTAGCAATAAAAGTGACAAAAATAGCATAGATAATATAGAATTCAAAGCCCCTGTAGTACTGCGTATAAAGAAGGAACGTCAGAGACTATACGTAGAATTCTCAATGATGCTGGAATTTAGGTGGCATTTAAACCAACCAACTCTCTCAGAGATAAACTTTGTCGGCCTAAGGACCAAATGGATCCAATTAAGAAAAATAATATAATTTACCAAATGCCATGCTGCAATAACTGTGAGGTCAATTACATAGGTCAAACGAGTAGATCGGGGTTAACTAGATCATTGTAACATAAAAAATTGGCTAGACCCCGCTAAGTTCAATAACCTAGAAAAAAGATCAGCCATTGGATTGCATTCACTTGCATGTATTCGCGAAATAGGGTGAATGGGACAGGGTGAGAGTATTAAAAATTAATATAATTAGGTGGAGAGAAAGATAGAGGTTGATCACTGAAGCTTTTTTTATCGATTCAGTGCCGCACATGTGCAATCGGAATGATGCAATGCCTATGCCGGAGATATGGATAGTGGCAACAAACAACGAAGGAAAGTTGTAGAGACAGAAAGAAAGGATATATGTATATAAGACAAATAGTGAAACCGTGTGACTAAAATTGATATGATTATGAGCAGCAGTAATTTTTGCTCGAAACCTTGTCATCCAGTTTTTAATACTGCATCACTGTGTGATTATCAAAAATATGGAATTACATTCTATCACAGTGCCAAAGTTCTACACTTACATTAAAGCCTACTGCTTATCAGATTAATATTATTTTATTTTGTGTCTTAAGAATCCGTTTCTGGAATCCCTAAATGCTGAAAAGTTTTTCATTTGTATTCCGATTATGAAGATCATAATCTGTATTTTTATGGAAAGATATTGTTAGAAGATCGCTAATTTCCCATTGATTTTTTTAGATGCTGATAAGATTTCTATTTTCTTAGAGAAACTTTCTCTGATTAATGTTTAAAGAAATTATTATGGAGAAATGTTTTCTGATGAATCATACTCAGTTACTTTTATCTTAAATTATGGCAATACTTAGTGAAACATTTCATTCAATATTATCATATCGATTAAACTGACTTTTAACTGGATTTCATATTATTACCTTAAGAGTTACATATTGTTTTTCCCAGTGAAACTCTTACTGTTTCAATTTTCCACTGGATATATGACCAAGTGATGAATTATCGAGAAAATTTATCTATGAATAGACGTGGTGGTGCTTCCAATCAACGCGCAATGCAAGCAGCTCGGCGCTTAGAACTTGCTGTATCATCTTATAGAGAATTCTTAAATTGTTTAAATCGTATGCTGAATGTAACTGCAACAGATAGAACTGTTCAACCAGAAAGTGAAGAAACACCAGAGGATATTGAAGAACGTTTATGTCTACAAGCCAGTGTTGCTGAATCGATAGGGGGTATGTAAAACATATAATCACTTTCATCGGATGAATCACTTAAAAATTTGTAAAATATATGCAATCACATAATTAATACAGATTTCTCTCTATTAAAATACCTAGTATTGGTCGGATATTTCACGAAGAGAACTGCAGTTCATAATTCAGGCAAATGGCATTCATGAGCTCGCAACTCGTTCCACATACTGCCGTTTATAAGGGTCTAGTTAACACTATTAGTCCTTACATTTAAATTAAGGTGCAGCTGGTTGGTTCAAATATTTGGCTTTCAAGTTTCTGCAACCATTCTGTATTCCATTTCACAGGTGTTACTTATCTACATTTTTAAGTGCACTCCGCTTGAAAACTACTTGTCTATATATTTTTTCTTTTTTAAAGGCAGCGTATTCCACGTTTCTGAATATCAAGAAGTATTTCCTATCCTTCTCAGAGACTACAGTGAAATATTTATGTCAAAGTATGTGCTTTTTTTGATAATTTCACATAAATTCATTCTGTTGAATATGCATAAAACCCCCGTTTCCCACTGCGTATGTATTAAGTTGAATTGTGGTCTTCTGAATTTACCTGTTTCACCATTTTGAATATCAGACAATTCTGTTTTCAGGTTAGACCACGGATCGATATCAGTTAGGGAACTACTGAGAACCAGGAAGTATTGGACAGCTGTTTCGTCCTAGTTTGGGACCCATCGGCAGTACGCACTCACTTGGTTTCGTACGCAGGACCTTCCAGTTACAAGATGAGCTGGTATATCATTCAGCGACTAGGGCCCTATTCAATCGCCTGAGAATTCTAACTTCTATCAATCTGTGGTCTAACCTGAAGCAAATAGAATCCCTACAAACTAATTCTTGAAAATTCTATTTTCATTATTTCATGCTAAGTCCGATTTTTATTGGAGTTTTTGATGTGTCTGTTCTTCATTTTCTAAGGTATTTTAACTGTTTCGAAATATCATCATTTTTTCTTAGGGATTACCTACGAGATTTGGTTGAAGGCTCTCATTTGTTCATAACCTTACTGGCTAAAAAGTTTTGTATCAATGGAAAGAAACTCATAGTAAAACGAAAACGCCACAGAAGAAAACGTCAATCAAGGCCTAAAAAGAAGTCTAGTGATGAAAACAATATTTTAAATCAAGAACCAGAATCAGTGAGAGTTAAACGCCTTGAACAACAGTGGTCCGGTCAATTAGAAGGTCCCCTCATACAGCTATTACTCGGTTCTACATCAGAAGACAATGAACATAATGAAAGTGACGATGATATGAACGATACAAGACTTTTCGATACGTCTGCGGGGAATAGTGAAGATCAACAGCTGAAGTCAGCTATTCGTCGGGTCAAAGCTGCTTTATTTGCAGGTTCAGCCAAGACCGCTCTAGCAATGGCTAGAAGAATGTGGCGCCTTTGGCCAGAAGTTGCTCCAATTTCAGTTGAAGAAGACAACCCAGCTGTTGATGCTGGACGGGCTGCTGGACTACCTCCTGAATGCCTAAATATACTCGGTGCCTTACGGCAAATTCATGTGACAGAATTAGGTGAGTTATCAAAAATATCGTGATGTGATCATTTCAGTTTTCATTATCGTAACACTCACTAAATTTTACACATGTCCAAACCAAGTTCACTTTCAACAGTTTATTATTCTTTTATTTTCTGCCTATTTGTTGCGTATAGTTGGTATTATAAACGATCAGCGTTAAGGATCTAAGTATTGTGATGGCGATCTCTTCTATTTCTCAAATTTTAGAAGAAGAAGAGGAAGAGGCAGCAGGTGATGAATCTTCATTGGATGGTAGTGATGATGACCTTTACAACGAAGAACTTGGTATTGATGATCCTAATGACGAACAATTAGTTACGCGTGAGGAAGAAGTAGTACTTGACTTTAGGACATTTCTCTTGAAATTTGTACATCCACGTGTTATACATGCGTACACGTAAGTTTCCACTTGCTCTACCGTAAATTTCGCTACCTCAACTTTTATGCTTTTCCAAGTTTTAGTAATTAAAAAGAAATGAGAGTAATCCAGAAAACTCATTGTATGGATATTCATTTTGTTGCCTAATATTAAATTGAGTGGATCTGTAGGCATTTTGACACAAATTTATCTCATGTTTGAAATTTATGACGACTTTTGTTTTTATTTTATTTTACGGGTTGATCACGGATTGATATCAGTTAGAGAACCATTGAAAACCAGGGAGTACTGGACAGCTGCTGTTTCATCCTAGTTTGGGAATCATCGGCAGTACGCACCCACTGGGATTCGAACCCGGGACCTTCCGGTTACAAGGCAAGCTCGTATACCATTCAGCCACTGGAACCCGATTCAATGGCTCGTGAATTCTAACTTCTACTAATTCGTGATTTAGCGCGACCCCAACCATTGTCGTTGGTGGGACATCCATCCACACACGTGACATCTAATTGGACCTCACTGGTCACGACTTCTCACTAGAACTCAGGAAGCTCCAACCTGTAGCAAGTCACTAGCGAGCATCAGATCAACTTTCTATAGTTTTGGTTTGTAAGGATTAGTTATGTTTTACGGGTTGATCACGGATTATTTATTAATTTTTTTAAATTTTTGTTTACAGCTTGATTCCACACTGTATTTTTGGTACAAGTATGGAATCTTCAGCATGCGATATCGGTAGCCCAAATTTCGCAGGCCGACCGTAGATATCAGGTGTGCGTGGGCAGGGGATCGAACCTCGGACCATGTGCATGGTCGGCGAGAGTCCTAACCATTGTGCCACCGACCCACATTTTCTTCATCATTTTAATAGTTCCTTTATTGTTACTTTTGTGATCATTTTTTCGATTATTCCATTTTTCTGAAGCTTTTGTCCATTTCAATATTGTTTCGAAGTATTGAGTTGAGCTGACTAACTCATACTCAACGGTCTGTGTTGATCTAGCAGTTATTCAGACACACTCATTTAAGTTTCTTGTCTGACTTCTTGTCTGTTACTTTTAGAGTAAAGATTAATATGCGTAGTTGATATATTTCAGTAATTCTCTCAAGTACTAACCCATCATAATAACCTAGGCAACTATTCCAAGAGTAGTAACACTGAAATATCCATCGATTGCGTAAAGTGGTCAATGAGTTTGTCTTATTAAGAGACAAAAAAGCTTCAGATAGGAGATTCGCAGCAATTTTAAAGCTCACACCCTATCACTAAGAATTAGGTCCCTCTATGTAGTATCAGTGTATCTTAATCATATAGTCCTTCTAGGCGAAGACGCTGACGAAATGCAGAGTCTTCTAAACACCTTGAGCCGCAATCTACGAATGTTTGGCATGCGATTCGCTTCCGCCAAATGCAAGATGATGTTACAGGACTGGACTACATCGATGCCTAGTTTAAAAATAGGAAGTGAAGTGGTAGAGCACGTTGACCGCTTCACTTATTTAGGAAGTACCATCAGCCAGCTCCAAAGGGGTTAATCTCTGACGAAATCTCAGCACGGATACAGGGGGCTCGTTTCGCGTTTGCCAGTTTACGCCGACTCTGGCGTAGACGAGATGTTCGACTATCGACCAAAGGGCGGGTGTACTGCTCATCAGTCCGTTACGTCCTCCTTTATGACGGGCTGTGAGACCTTGTCACTGAGAGTGGAAGACATGAAAAGACTAGCTGTCTTTGATCATAGGTGCCTGCGTTCTATCTCCCGTGTAAAGTGGCATAATAAGGTGAGCAATATTGAGGTTAGGCGTCGAGTTCTAGGTAAACTGGGGAAATCAATCGCCGAAGTCGTGAAGTTAGAAAGACTGAGATGGTTAGGACATGTGTTACGTATGCCAAGCCATCGCCTCCCTCGACGAGCAATGTTAGCGGATATAGGGTCAGACTGGAAAAAAGCTAGCGGCGGTCAAACAAAACTTGGCACCAGTCAATGAAATCCATAACAGTTGGTCTAAGCCACGTAGGAAGGTGTAGACTTCCAGGCTGGGGTCCTCGGGACGGTAAAAATCTATGGTTGGAAACAATTGGTGACGTGGCTCAAAATCGTTCTCAGTGGCGCAAATGCATCCACTCCCTGTGACTTATGATCTTCAATGAAACTGTTTTGTTCTTCGTTATTACTCCTTCCTTTGCCTCACACCTCTGCTTATTGTCTCTATTATGCTTTTCTTGTACTTTCTTCCCTTGCTTCGCGTGCTACACGGAATGTGGCGACTTGAACTTCCGCACATTTGTGCAAAGTTCTATGTCGAAAACAGACAGACAGAATCATATCAAGGGTTAGCAGCAATTAGTTTTGCCCGAAACATCATTCAGTTATCAATACACGGACATTGTGTGTTATAACAGATAAACTTATCTGATATGGAACTTATGTAGTTATTGTTAAGCTCATTAGCATGTATTTGCTTACTGAGTTACAAAACTTTATTCTCAAGCATTTAGGTTTAAGAAAATGCTACGAAATCATCGAAGGATGATTCCCATATGTTTCTTTTATTTTGGGAAATGGAAATACACTATTTCATGCAGTTGTCACTTTCTACTTACCACCTCATATTTCTGAAGCAAGATATACTCAAAGTTCGGATAACTAATAGCTTTTTTAGAATGACTTTTTCACTCTTTTCTAAAATGTATAACTTAATCACTTTCAAGCTTTAAAGGTTGTTTATTACTTCCTTTAGTTTACTATTAGAAAATTATGATACTAATCCTCGAACAACTAATAATGCCATAGTTCATACTTTTCATCGATTGGCTGTACGTGAACACTTGCCTGGGAGTTTTTTTCAATTACGTTTATTCCGCGTATTTCAAAAATTTCTTCGCGATCGTGGTTTAGCTACCTCTCCAGAATTTAAAGTAAGTCCTATTACCATTTGCATTGTGATACTTGATTTATGTGCATTGTAATTAACCTATCATATGGTAAGTAGAGTTATGACCAGTGGTAATAAAAGTAGTCGATTTGTGACCTACGAATGACGGATATACTCAGGACACTGAAACTTGCTCATAAATTAATGTCCACCTGGATTTTAGTTACTCTTCAGTTCATAATTATGAGATAGCTTCTGTTCCTTGTCCATGTTTTTCATCATTAAAACTTTAATTGCCACCTTAAATGTGCCGTTCTCAAATATTACTTACTCTTTGTGGAAACTTCAAACAACTCGTTGCTGTGTCTTATACCTTGTAAACGTATGTCTGTCTGTCCGTCTGTCTGTTACGTTCTATACATCAACAAGTGAACCAGGCACTGACCGTTTACCAGCTGCTGTCATTTAACGTTGCTAAATTGTGAGATGCAACAGGAACACAAGTGTATGGTATACTGCAGTGAATAATCCAGTGCATTTCTGAATAAAATGGAAACCTATACGACCTTAAAAACTCTAGGCAGTAAATGCAGACAAATGATAGTAAAGTCAGTCATTCTGACTCACGAATGTAAGAAGACAATGATGGCGTTTGTTTTGCTCGATTGAGTTTTCTGCATTGTTAAGCTTCTTAAGTTATTTAATTTATCTGAAATTTAATTATGCTCTGAAATCCATTATTACTATTTCTTTCTATACCCCATATATATTTGTTTCACAGGAATTAGCAAATCTTATCAAGTATATTTTAAGGAAATTTTTTGAAGCTTATGAAAAGAATAACTATCTAGTGATCGAAGCACTCTTCTTTAAGACTGTCAAAGAAAGCTATGAGACTGTTCAAGGATATGGTACTTTTGAGGACAAGTAAGTTGGCAGAAAATCATTTTACATATTTTTGATTTGCCTAGAAATCGTGTGCAAAACTTTAATAGATGTGTCTTAATTACAGCGTATTTTTTTGTCTCAGCAGGTAGTTGTTCTTCAAAAAAAGTTAGATCCTTCTGTCTAATAAGTACATAGAATTCACAGCAAACTGAGTGTCTTTTATTCATAGACATATCTCCTATGGTTCATGAGTATTAGCACACCAACTCCTAAGCACAGAATCACTGACTCGAAACAATCTGTCAGTTGAAGTTTGCGCAACTAGATAGTTAAATGGGTATGTATTTGAATAGAGCGGAATAAATGTGACATGACTTTTCTGAGTGTACATGTACATGAATGCATGTTTGTACAGCTGCAATGATGATAGTGATGTATGTGTTGTGCAAATAATATTTGTAAGTAACATGTGCCCTATTTATGCTTTACTTATTTACAGAAAGAAAACTAATCATTGGACTAGTGAGCAAGACAAAGAATTAACGCAACTGTTTGAAGCCTATCGTCATGATCCTGTACCTAAAGGTAAGTCACATCAACGGTATTTTTTAAACAAAAGCCTTTTAAAATTATGTGACTACTTCCCTGGGGAAAATTTGCTTACTCGTGTTCGCACGATTGTAATGTAAGCCACGGTTAGCTATTTCTCTCCCCGTTGTATTTTACAATGTTGAGCAAGTGTATTCTTAGTAGTTGAATATTTTCACATAGAGATAAGGCCAGTAGGTTTATTTACTTTCATGAGTCATATTTGTAAAAGTATTCGCTTGCATTCTTCCCAATCAATGAAACTGATCATGAAGCCTAATTACCATATGACTTTTTTGTCAGTCAGTCTGGTGGTCAGTTAAATACTTAAGTAATGTATTCTCCAAGTAGCCTTTTGTGTAGATTGCTTGACTTAAAAATGTCTGAGTACAAGTTTTATCTTTAAGATAGAATGTATGCCAATTGAGTTCTCATCGAAATCAAACATGTGACCACAGAATTTAATACATATCACCGACTTATAATGGATAGCAAACTAATCCGCTTTTGGACGCTGCATTGCATTGCATTCAGTCTACTCTGAGAATAAAAGAACAGTAACTTATTAACTAGTTAGTTGTTAGTTAATGCGAACTGGTGCGAATGGAAAGTTTGCTTTTCTAATTATACTTCCTTTGTAGTTCTTGAATGTTTGGTTTGTGAAAGATTCATATTTGCATGAAGTAAGCAATCTACATCTAGTATTATAGTTTGCTGTCCTATCATGTTCTGGAGATCCGACCTTTTGATTTCTGTCTTTTCTAGTTTGTGAACTTAAACTGAAAAAGCGTGCTACGCTTCTGAACTCCACCAAACGAAAGGTGTAACAGTCTGAGAAAGGCATGCCACATTAAGGCGTTGTTTACCAGTTCAAATGTACATGTACACACGTCGTACAGAGAGTTGTGTTTACTCGCATTAGTGAATATTCACCAAACTGATAAAGGTCAATTGTAGTTAATAGCACATGAGTCAGCAAAAAGATCTCTTTTCGTAACCTCACGTCAAAACTGTACACTTAATTATATGGTGGGGTGGGGTCCATATATGCAATTCAGATTGATGACAGAGGTCAAAGGTTACTGTCAGTTAGTAGCAATGCAAACCAAACTTCATGAGTGAAAACTACGTTTGAAAAATTAAGAAATAGTCTTATGCAATCAAGAGGGATGGGAACTAATTATTTGACTGATGACTATTCATGTGGAAATAGTTGGTTAAAGACAAGAGAACAAAAGATTGAAAATGAGTTGTAAAACATAAAAAGGAATACATAGCGCTTATTATACAGTTATTCGGGAAAACAAAGAAGGAAGATAAAAAAAATAGTACTAGGGCTATGGTAGCGAAAGGGGTTGGATGAAAGTTTTCTTAACACAAAGTCCAGGTTTGAAGTGATAATCACACTGAGCCCCCTATCTCAAGGTATCCGTTGGATCGGAAACAAGAAATTCAAACTCTCAACGTCTTTACGGTTGTTAAAACTCAGTGGAACATTGAAATTGCTCCCTGAGCTCGTGAACTGAACCTGTATGTGTGGAATTAGGTTGTAGTTACCTCAAATTTACCATGAAATCGATCTAACTCGATGGCTATAGCCTTTATCTTTCATCTATTGGTTGTCAAATTTGAACCTTGCTGCTCCTCCTGCTTACACAGTAATATGGCGAGTGCTACTGACAAGATTTATCAGTAGTATACAGATAGACGTTCATCGGTATAAATCGGCATTTGATTTCAGAGAAGGCAAATGCTACAGCACCGTAGAGAAGTAAAAGGAACACAAAGAAACACAACATGAAGATCAGAAGTACCACAACATGAAGATCTGTGCGATTAGTGCGTTGAAGATAATGTATACGTAATTTAGCTATATAGAGACACCAGTTTCCAAGTAAGCATTCATTCACTAAGTCTTCGTCTTCTACGGTTTCAATAAGTGTAGCTGATAGTGAATGGTGCACAAAATGTCTTTCTCAAGTAACTGGGTTTTATCTACTTACCATGGGATAACTTCCAGTTTTCTTATGAATATGTTTGTGAGTGTACTTGTTTGCCTTCACTGTTTTTCTCTTTAACTTGTGTTTTATTAATGGATACTTTATTACTATTGCTAAAATTGTCATAATCAAACTAACACTTGTATATTTTCAAGTATTGGTTTTGTAGGGATTCGGTTTGATTGTACGGAGGATTTAATCATGAGCTGACATTAGTTAGAGAACCATTAGAAAACCTGGGAGTACTGGACAGCTGTTTCGTCCTAGTTTTGGGACTCCTCAGCAGTACGTACCCATCGGGATTCGAACCCAGGACCTTCTGGTTACAAGGCGAGCTAGCTCGTAGACCATCAAGCCACTGGGACCCGATCCAACGGTCCTTGAATTCTAACTTCTGCCAATTCACGACTCTCTCTAACTGATGTCAGCTCATGATTAAATCCTCCATACTTGTATATTTGTCTAATTTTACGTTACTACTGTAACAACAGAAGACAAGGGCCAGGCAACAGATCGTTTTATTACGGAAATCAGCACGTATTTATATATATTTCATGTACATTATTATAGATTATTCAGGCAGACAAACACAGTCTTCTGATTGGTTGTTTCTTGCTCAAGGTTATTCTGTACTGCTGTGACTGGTTTCTCAGAAAGTTAAGCCATATATCTACGAATCGTATTTGCCCACGTTAAGTCTGCTGTGATTGGTTGTTGAATCAGTTTTGTTCATATTTTCTCACGGTCAATATTAGCGACATAGACATTGACGTAAATTAATGTCTACCAATGGGCTAGCAGCCTGCTCTCACCACACTACCAATCATCGTATTTGATTTCTTTTTAACTTTTAAAACTAAGTAACGTCTTTCTGATCTCAATTTTTACTGCTTACTATTATTTGTCTACTTAATTCTTGTTTTCTCTTATCTGTGCAGTTGTCAAACATTCCTGTTGGCTAGTAACTGTTCTCTTCATTGTCATCTCAATCTTAATCATCTTTTCTTACCAATGTATAGTTTTATTTGACGTGTTTAAATTATGTACATTGCCTTGTGTTGTAGTCATAAGTGCATGTATTCTTTCACTGCAGAACTAACCGTATATAAAACCATGAATTTGGATTGTAAAATGGATGAATCTTACTAAGACTTATACATTTTACGTTCAAGTCTAGGTAACCTGCATTGCCTTGCTGTAATATTTTTGTGTCATGAGAATGATGTATTACTTTCCTTTTCCTTTTCAATTTTAGGCAGCGACTTAGCTGACTTAATTGTTAAACACTTCTCAGATTCCAGTAGAACTCGTCGACAAATTGTTTCCAGATTAATTACATTAGGTTTGATAATATCTGCCAAACAACTTAAAGAAATCACGTTAGTTAACTGTATTTCATTTTCCTTTTGATTTCACACTAAATTTGTGTATTTTATTTTATTGATTGTGCTACTTCACTAATCAGCATTGAATCAGTATTTAGTCTTATTCTTTAAACAGTTAGTTCGGTGAAGTTAAAGTATCATAGCCAAAGTCAAGGTGTTTCAAAAGTTGACCTTCAAGAACTGACCAGACACAGGGAATGCTATGAAATGTCATTGCATCTGTCCGTCTGGATTCAACATAGAACTTGGCACCGAAGCACGGCAGTTCGAGTTGCCACGTTCCGAATAGCACACAAAGGTAGACAAGTATATCATATCATGTCTACCTTTCTGGACTTGGAGAAGATATATGCATTATTCTGCTTGTTTATTAGCTACTTTCTCTGTAGATCTATACTGTTAGGTGGGGTTATTACGTTTCAGATTAAGGTTTAGTGTCTAGGGTTAGGTGTAGGGTTAAAGTTAGGATTTATGGTAGATTGGAGGACAGTGTCAAAATACCATAACCTACAGTCACTTGGATGAATAGACATATCGCACATGGTAGAATTTCCCTATAAGTCATCTGTGTGTTGACTGGGAGACATTGTTAAAACACACAAGCCACAAGTACACAGTGTAATATCAAGTTTGCAATAGGTTTTAGTGTATTTTTCGACGATTATGCTACTTTTTTGTATCTGAATTCTGATTGGTTGCTCAAGGTCACTGTGTTTTGGCTATGATTGTTTAACTTTGCCGTTAGGGCTTTTGGGAAAAGGTCTTTGACAGGAAACTTTCTGCATTTAATTTAACCAAAGCAAACAGTTTAACAAAAAAAGCCTTTAAGTATTTCCATTATTATATCTTGTCAGAATAGTTATTATATAATGTTAATAAGTAATCTGGTTGCTGGCCTGCAATCAATCAGGTGATATGTTAGGTCGACTCAGTCATAGTTTGTTACGCGTATATTCTATTAAACTGAATTGTGGGTAAAACCTACTTGCGTAGAATGCTTATTAGGCAGACACTCACTGTGTATTTCACTCATGATTGTATTTTGAAAGGTTAACGTAGAGTTGTTTCACATTTGTAAATTTCAATGGGTAATTACACAGAATTATGAGGAGCTATTGGACAGAACTTAATCTGATACAATTTTATTAGATTAACATTATTCTTGATGTTGTTTTTATTGACAAAATTCTTGACAATATAACAGTTGGACAAAAGGGAATATTTAGTGAATTTGGAGCTCTGGAAAACTGGTGTTGAATCACTGGCCATCTCATACAGTCACTTGATATGGAAGCAACCTAGCTGCTGAAACTACTCTTTAAAATAAATTATCTTTAATCTGTTCACATTAGTTTGTCTTCACCATTTCATATTTTGGTATCAACTTAAAAGATGTTTGTCTCAATAGTGTGATAGTTGGTGACCTTGGAAGCAGCTTATAAGACTACATTTTTATCATTATTACCAATGATATTGTTACTATTATTATTAAACTTATTACTGAAATTATTATTATTATTATTATATGGAATTTCAAAAACTGCAGTTATTGGGAAATGTACATCTGTCGTTAAATATTTCTGTAACTTGTTTTGTGTAAAGCTAAACTTATCAGTAGAGCATATCATTTACCCTAATTACTTTCAGCATTCGACCAGCGAAACCTTTCAATAAACATAATCACCGACGAACCACTGAGAGTCAATCTGAGTGGACTGAAGAAGAAATAGCTCGTTTGAAAACCATAGTTGATTTACATAGAGATTCAAAAAGTAAGTCTCTGTGCCATAGCTATTTTAAAATATTTTATTATAAGCTTTTTAATATGCATCTTTATTTTGTAATATCCACTAAAGTTTTAGCAATGTAATTCATTCAGATGGTGGTACAAATTTACTTTTAGATATGCTTACCGAAATTATGAATGAAATAAAGGTGGATCATGATCTAGCTGTTCAGCGTCGTTCAGAACAGGAAATAACCGCAGAAGATGAAGACCTTAGAGATTATATTCCACCAATCCGTCCGCGGCGTATGGTTATTGCCAAGATTCTTGAACTTGGTCTTGTTGCAGATGAAAGTATATTGACAAAAACTATTCACAAGAGAAAACCAAAAGATATGTGTAACACTAATCCGGACGTTTTACTAAAACAGAAAAGGAAAAAAATGCGTAAGAGAAAACCTTCTACATCATCAGAAGAGGAAGCATCATATCATGAGGAACATAGTCCTCATGACTCAAGTACAGAAAACGAGACTGAAGGTTTGAACGGGCCAGCATATAATCCCCATGTGATTGAATCTAACCATTCGTCAAGTGATACACAGTCTGAAACTCACCGAACTTCCAGGAAGAGCCTTACAACTGGTATCGTTTCACCGGATCCAAACATGGGGTAAATTTTGTATCTTGTTTTATGATTTAACGTGAAAAATGCATTTCAGGATTTCATCATGAGCTGACATTAGTTAGAGAACCATTGGAAAACCTGGGAGTACTGGACAGCTGTTTCGTCCTAGTTTTGGGACTCCTCAGCAGTACGCACCCACCGGGGTTTGAACCCAGGACCTTCCGGTTACAAGGCGAGCTAGCTCGTATACCATTAAGCCACTGGGACCCGATCCAGTGGTCCTTGAATTCTAGCTTCTGCCAATTCACGACATAGCGCGACCGCTAGCCAATGTCTTCGACGAGTATTTGTCCTCACACCCGACCTGTTGCACCCTACTGGTGGTCACGACTTCCCACTGGAACCCATGTAACTACCTACCTGAATAGGGCCAGTCGTCAGTGATTATCTCATTGGTATTCAAGTGTTGGTTTGTAGGGATTTGATTGGTTTCAGGATTTCATCATGAGCTGACATTAGTTAGAGAAATGCATTTCTTTTATGTAGTCAGACAGGTTCTGATTACCGCGTTTACTTTTTATTTCTTTCTCCATGAAAGATATAAACTAGTCTTCTGTTTTAGTTCAAGTTTTGATTAATGAAATAGTCAGTGCTGCCGAATTCTTGTGATTGTGAGTATTTACAACTTATATATATATATATATATATATATATATATATATAAGTTGAACCGAAATTAGTAGAAAAACTTGAACTTTTCGAAGTATTTTACTAAATGGCATATTTGCTATTGAATCTTTCATCACTGCGCATGATTCAACTTTTGCAATTCCGGTTTCTCAATGCATTTAAAACACCTGATAACGATCACTGAACCTAGATAGCCTAAATATGCATAAGCACAATGTGAATGTGGTCAATGAACTCAAACATATATGAAAACAAAATTTTTTTTCTCACAACTGGTTTTACTGACGGGCATAATTCGTGAATTCAACCCGTATTAGTTTCCGTATGTTAGGAAATATCAATATAAAATATGCGTTTTTCTGTGGTATTTTGGTATTAACTATCACATTATAATCATGAATATATAATTGGACATTGGTGGCCTTCTCAGAGTGTATTTTTTTCTAAGTGACTATTCTTCTTTTGTGTCGTATTTATTTTTCTGCAAACAGATCTCCAGAAGTTCCAATTAACAAAAGAAGACGACTGTTGTCTTCGAGTTCCTCAGACGACACTGATAAAAATAAGTCTGATGTAGATTGTTCCGAACAGTAAGTGTTTCACATAACTTTTTATATTTTCCCTTATCTATAAACACACCGTGTAAGTATTTACCAAAGTGACTACCACTTTACAAGCGATGATCACAAATCTGCACTGAAACCGTAACAAAAATTTTCGTCACACTAATTTGTATTCCGAGAATAATTTGGGTTGATCAATTTGCTTTTTCTGAATCCTAGCTGCTCGAAACATTGATAATTTTACAATTAACGTTAAAGTAGACCTAACTATACTTTCTATTTCACCGCTTTATCAGTTTTTGTCGTTGATATCGATCTTCTCTGGCGAGCATGTATTATTAAACCCCAGTTGTTTAGTTCTAGCACGTAGTCCTCTCGAGAGGTAGAGCCAAAGTTTCAAAAATCTCATATCCCCAAGCTACTACATTTATATTAATTTGAGTTCCATGCAGTTAGAGGTACATCAAATCTCCCAATACTTCGGCCATTTTATACTTCCTTAAATTGTGGCGTGATAATTCGCACAAACTTCTGTGGTTACTGTAATCATGGATTTCTTTCGGCTATTACCAACGGCGTTAACTATTAGCTGATTTTCGCACCTGCTGATTAATTCAGAACACACTGACGTGGTAGAAAAGTTATGTTCACACAGCAGAGAAAAATATATTCACAAGAATGTATAAATTAGTGTGTAATAGAACAGTAGCACGAAATAGTAGGGGTTAGGTTTATACGAATTAATAGAATAGGCGTTGATCTTCATATCAGTTCGTTTCTCCTGTCTTTAAGTAGCCTATGACCAGTTGCTTTGCTTGGACTTGATATATCTGACTTAGTTATTCTGAACTTACGCAGAATGTGCTAAGACTTGAACGGAAAGTTACATCTTACAGAGACGTAACAGGCAAACTTTACTTGTCCGGGAATTGGAAAAAGTGTGTAGTAGAATTTGAAATTCATCACGTTTTCTTTCTCACTATTCTGCTGCACGGTCAATAAGTTCTAACCAAGGATAAACAATCATTAACGTAATGATCTTATTTACATAACAACTAACTGTGCCATTATTACTGTCGGACTACCAGTAGTTCATGAACCCACGAGATTCCTTCCCTCTCTAGCATGCAGATCAAAAGAAAACAACTCACATATAATCACCGAAATCAATGCCATAGCTTCCTAAGAGAGCTATATTGAGCAAAGTGATCGTATAAAAATTGGTGAGCTATATCCACCATCTTGGACTTAAACCAACCCCGATCTTCATCGGATGTTGCGGTAAGAGGTTTGAGTTGGTCATATAAGTTTTCAAACTCAGCATGGATGGCTAAATCCGTAAATTGCGTGCGAGGAACACAAAATTTGAGTCCAAGGGATAAAGCTTCTTTCTGATGAGTAGATAGAGTAATATCAGAAAGCTTTGTAACGTACTTATCAGGATTCACCGGGAAGACATCTACGCGGTTTCGATCATCGATTGAACTCTTCAATTTATTTTGTATATTCGTCTTCGTTTTCTGAGTAACATCTTTACAAAACTGAAGAAATTTCATGTGGCATATTGTTGATAATTCAGATAAAATAAACGACGCATCGGTATGAAGAACAAGTAGTCCTTGTAAGGTTTGTTTAACATTTTCGATATGTGAATTTGTAAGACGAACAAGATTAGAGATATATGGTTGTAATTTACTGAATTTCAAAGTTTTATAAAATTGCCTCGGGAAAGAATGATTTTTAATACATAATTCATAAAATTCCAACGTGTTACGTTCGACGATAATTTTACACCTAAGGTTAACAAGTTCATTTAACCTTTTGATAGTGTGTGGAGGGAGCCTTCTCTTTAAAAATTTAAAACAATTAGTTCCCTTTATGAATTTAGATAAAGCAATAAGAAGACGTAATTTGTCTGAATCGTGTAATGTATTTGCGCAACACATTTCGAACAATCTCATCATACACGGATTTGTCATAGGAATATATATAAAATTAATAAAGAGGTAAGAGGTGAGAAAAATAGAGTTGGATCAAGTTAAAAGGACATATTCAAGGTCAAAAATAAAAATGAAGACCACTAAACCAAATAGCAGAGGTAATAGTACATCTCCTATGGTATCAAAACAAAATTTACCAAAGAAGGTTTAATGTGATGACAAATTGTTTTTGAACGCATAAAGGTGGCTTGAACTTTCTAATTGGCAGGGCTTCTACAAACTTTAGGATACGCCCCAAACACGTTTTATAGATAGGTTTAAAAGATCTGTTAAAATAAATTGAAGAGTTCAATCGATGATCGAAACCGCGTAGATGTCTTCCCGGTGAATCCTGATAAGTACGTTACAAATCTTTCTGATATTACTCTATCTACTCATCAGAAAGAAGCTTTATCCCTTGGACTCAAATTTTGTGTTCCTCGCACGCAATTTACGGATTTAGCCATCCATGCTGAGTTTGAAAACTCATATGACCAACTCAAAGTGATCGTCGTGATGTCACAATTTATTATCCCTCATACGATTTCATGTGAGCAAATTTGCGCATATATTTCACGTACTTTTAGAAGCATCATTCAGATCAACAAAAATTTGGTGCAAACCCAACCTCCCAACTAATAGTGAGAATAAAAAAATAAACATTAGATTGAAATTCATGTTTAACCACAACCAGAATTGACAGTCTAAACGTTCAGTTATTAAAACAAGCTAATAAAGCATCTACGGGCATAACATTGTGTCAGTTCCCTCCATTTGCTAGGGATGCCACTTAGAATGATAGCAAAAGCTTCGTAATTTAACTATCCAGTTCAAAGAAAATGGCGCGATCACAGTTACATTGGGGAAATATTCACTATTCAGGTTAACGAATGTATCACTTCCCTTTTAAAAATATTCGTAAGTTGTCTACGCAAACAGCCTCAATATACCGTAGCAATTGTAATGTTTTTGTAAAGTACCGTCATTCTGTTACTTGATGTAGCAGTTGTTTACTTGAGTCCAATTTCTTTTTCTTCTCATTTTTATTAATGAAATACTTATTAACCTACTTCTCCGTTAGATTCACTGATATACTGCCATCTGACGATAAATACGGAGGGAATCTTACTCGCAAAGTTCATCTGTTTTCTTCAGACTCCGAATGAAATCTCTAAAATTGTCTTATATGTACCACAGATATGTTTTATCACACAATATTTATTTCTAAATAGAGCATTTTATTACTTAAACGAACTGTTTCTCTTCTTTTTCTACTCAAATTCTAATAATAACAAGTCTCCAACTGTAAAGAACGTGAACATTGTGTATTGACATGACTGACTGGTTTCGACATAGGACTTTCCAAAGAAGTGCAGCAGTTTTAGTTACTACACTCTAGGTGGCACACAAAAGAAAACAAGGAACGCAAAAACGATAGTAAGTAGAAATGTGAGGGGGAAAAGGAAAGAATAGTTACATGGGAAAATAATAGGGTTTAATACGTATGCCAGATCTCAACGAGTGAATGCATGTGCGCTATTGAGAACGATTTTGAGCCAAATCACCAGCCACTGACTTTTAGCATCTCGAAGACCACAACAAGTTAGTCTACATCTTCCCATGTGGCTCAAACTAACTGTTACAGATTTCATGGACTGATTGTTTGGTTTCCCACCACTAGTTCTTTTCCAGCCTGATTGTATGTTACCCAACATTGCCCTTCGAGAAAGGCGATGGCTAGGCATGAGCAACACATGTCCTAACCATCTCAATAAGTATAACTTCAAAACCTCATCAACTGATTATCCCTCCTTACCTAAAACTCAGCATTGCTCACCCTATTACACCAACTAACACTGGAGACAGGGCGCAGACACCTATGATCAAAGAAAGCTAGATAGCTTTTTCATGTCTTCCAATTCTTCAATGACTATGTATCACAGCCGGACGGAGTGGACTGCTGAGCAGTACACACGCCCTTTGTTCGGTAGCCAGATATCACATCTACGCCAGAAATGGCGTATGCCAAACGAGCCTTTTATATCCCTGCTAGGATATCATCAGCAACCAGCCCCTTAGGGCTGATGCACCTCCCGAAATAAGTGGAGTAGTCAACACGCTATCAGTTCACTCTCTATATTTAAGCTAGAAATCGATGTAGTCTAGTCCTGTAGAATCATTTTACAGCAGCGAATCACCTGCCAAACATTCTAATATTGCTGCTCTAGGTGTTCAGAAGACAATGCATTTTACCACTGTCTTCACCTGAGAGGACTATATCACTCCCATACTCTAAGCCCACTAAACCGTCCCTGGTAACCAGTCGCCAGAGTCATTCAGCGTCCACTCAATTAGTACATCTGTAATGAAGTTAAACAAAAATGGGGACATTGGGAATCCCTTAAGGACACCGAAGGCTGTTCTTACTCCATAAGATTTGACACGGCTGCGTAAGTTCGAATAGAGTGCATTGATTAATCCAGTATACTTTCTCGACACTGTCCACGGCCAAACACTGCCAGAGCACTCACCGGTCGATAGAGTCAAACGTCACATTCAGGTCCAGAAATGCTGTAAGTGTTGGACACCGGCAAGTGTGTCTATTTTCCAGAATTTGTGGGAGGCTGAACACATGATCCGTGCATCCTCTTCCTGGTCCAAATCCTAACTGGTTTACTTGTCTTGAGCTCAGTGGTTGTGTGATTGTGGAACATAGAACTTGTGATATTATATTAGTCAGTCTTTTCCTCCTTCTGGCGATTATCTCAGGAAGACTTGTCTCTCTTCATATGAAGTGGGATAATCAAGGATGCGCACCAGTCTAACGGAGCAACTCCTGATTCTCAGACAGTACACAGTACCCTAGTTAACCCTAGAGACAGTTTGTCATCACTAACCTCAATACTTCTGGAGTCATTCCATCAGGTCCTGTTGCTTATCCGTGTTTCACGTTAGAGACAGGTTTTTGTAAGCTGAATTACAGATGAAGGACCGATGTCGACATCTTACCCAGGTAGGTGTTGGATGATGGGCAAGTTGATCGTGGGTGTAGGTGTGTAAGCCAGTTGAACTGCTACACAAAACGTTGCTTCCAAGGTTCCAGCTGTCTATCTTTAGAGCTAATTAAACCGCCAACTGTTTCGCTCATCATTTTTCTTTTGTCACATGTTTCCCTAATATTTTTAAAATGGTTGTGTGGGGTTACCTATTGTGGGTGTTTCGTATCTCTTTGGTATTTGTTGCCCACCAGTGTTCATGGTCGTTTAGAAAACTTTTTGTCAGTCTGCGTTTAAGCAGCTATATCACAGATAAATGTATCATTGTCATCTGATCTATTCAAGGTTAAATACGAAAATGAGAGAACTTGGTGTAGGATAGTGATAGATAATGATCACATTCTACAGTAACGAAGTCGAGTTCATTGCAACAGAAACAACCAGATTTATTCCGAAAGCGATTACATATTATCATTCCATATTAGATAAGTTCATTGCATATACAACATACACTGATACAGTACCGGTAACTGGAAGACGTTTCGAGGATAATGTGTTCTTCACAATCATAATTTGATTCATGTATCTTGTCTAGTCTATGCCGATTTTATTCATTGTATTTCCATTTATAAACGGTACAGGCCTCGCTACATCTATATTTCGTGTGTGTTCGGAGTTGATTCGATGAACGAGTATTCTATGATTAATCACTCTCCCTCTCTCCACCTTACTACATAACACATGATTATTTTCTAATAGTAGTAATGATAATAATAATAATCATAAAAATAACAATTTGCTTTATTCCTAAATGATTCTATTGATTTTGTGTGAAATTTTCAGCATTTGGTAGATCATTGTATGTAATTCTATCGAATAACATTGAAAGAATTGCTAATGGTAGTTCTTATTTGGTAATTATAGTGACAGTAAGATAATAAACAAAAGGAATATTATAAAATAATGATACTAATTTTCGTGGTTATGATTATCAGTCAGTTAGATAGAGCAACATCAAAAAACAAGTTAAGGAATAATATTACATGATTGCTGATTACGTTTCTTGTGTGGTATTTGTAGTGACAGTGAAGTCATATGCACACAAAAAGTGTAAGTAATAATAATAATACTCACCCTAATAATAGTAACATTCGTAGCTAAGATTGTCAGTTAACTGAGGTAGTGTCACCACAGAGATTACAAATAGGAGATAATATAAAGGGTGAGTTATTCTGCCAACAATATAGTAATTCACAAGTTTCACACTCAACATTGTCTCTGTCACATGGAACACGGGCTGGTCAAATATGGAATCGTTGAGTTCCTGCACTCGGTAGTAAGAACGTATCATCACCTTTTTACTGACTTCCAGTTCTATCAATTAGATGAGGTAGAAGGTGGAGAGAGTTGAAAATAGAGTGGATGTTGAGGGTCGGCCAAAATAGATTTAGACCATTTCTCGCATGAGTTTAGATGTCTATCACCTAATGTGGCGAGTGACAAGCTGACTAGGTTTAACACTGCTTTCCCTACCAACAACCTTGAATGAACTTCTTAAAATGACATAGTCCTCTTTCAGTGGACCAGGAAAGACCGAGATGGTCAGCAGTAATTGTTAATATTGGTAGTATTTCGAGCAAAATTACTGCCCACCTTCACAACACTATTGGAATTTTTTTTTAACATTACCAATAACAAAATTTATCATTGTGTGTAAACTATTGAAGTATAATTATCCTTTTCCACAATGCTGAAGCCTTTTACTGACATTGAGGGCTGGAGTGAATACGCCATAAATTGGTTAGTATGGGGAATAATAGAGACTTGAAAGTGATCATAACAACAACAATCATAATAATTCTAGTATGTTATCGATATTAGTGTAAATAGTATATGTGTAGAGTGAGGAATGTGAAGTATAGACAGATTTAGATTAGGAGTGTCTAGACAGGATACTCAAAAGAACACAAAGAAATTATCAAAGAGCTGTGGTTTGGTGAATAGTATTCTGCCTATAACCAGCAAAAGAGGAATGTCTGATCATCTGAAGTAAAAGGACAGTTCCGGATATCTTTGTTTGCTAAATCTACCATTTCAGTCTGTATGCTCAGGGTGAGATAGTTAATCTCGTTGTGCTGATCGAAGTGTGTGCTGATAGGTGTGTGGTGATTAATTACCAGCTGACCACACTACAGAAGTTGTTTTCTCTATTGAGTATATTTGAGTAAAGCTATAGAAAATAAATCTGATGCTCGCTAGTAAGTTGCTACGGATGGAACTTCCTGGAGTTCTAGTGAGAAGCCGTGACCAGTGAGGTCCATCCAGATGTCACGTGTGGTGATTGATGTTCCACCGATGACGTTAGATAGGGTCGCGCTGAATCGCGAATTCGTATAAGTTAGAATTGATTGGTAATTGAATCGGGTTCCAGTGGTTGAATGGTATACGAGCCAGCTCGCCTTGTAACTGGAATGTTCTGAGTTTGAACCTCCCGAGGGGGGTTCCCAAACTAGGACGAGACAGCTTCCCAGTACTCCAGTACCTTTTTTCAATGGTTCTCTAACTGTTATCAATCCGTGATCAACTAATGAAAACAAAACTTATCCTTACAAACCAACTATAGAGGTAGTATTAATGTTTCGTGACTGTAGAGCCTGTGACACAACTTCACTTCTCAAGTCATACACAGTCTGTTTCAACTGGCAGTGATCGCTTTGTACACCTATTGTGTTTCCGAAAGCGTTTTCGAGATGGACAATAAAGTCGCTTATGAGGTGAATTCCATTTTGTCTGTTGGACTATCAGTGTATATATACTTCGTGTCACTTTGGATTAGTCGTCTTCGAAGTTACCTTTGAATTTTAGGTTCGTGAAGACAGTTTTCTTAGGTAGAGTTGCGAATTTCAGTGCCGGAGTATTATCCTCCATCTTCCTGTCAACAAATCTGGGTGAACTAGCGTTCTCTGTTAAGATTACAATTTGTGATTTCAATTCATTCTCTATCGTATATTACAAACAGATTTTTCGAAACACTACGGTAAGTGTACATACTAGAGGTGTTTTCGGATCAGCGGTGGTACTTTCACACAGTTGGAGGCACGTGGTATATGTAGTCTTATTTTGAAATTATCAACTGTAAATAACTATGAAAATGAGCGAATTCGACTGGG